TAAATATCTAAGTAAAAGATGTGGTCATAAATATGGTAATGTGTCAAGTGGATTATGTGGTTCTAGAAATTCTATCTAGAATATTCTAGGAAAATATCTAGTCCATGAAAATATGAAGACTAGAAGGCTCTAGGAAATGTGTGGTCTAGAAGTTTCATGTAAACCCTCTATAAAGGGGTAGAGTCCATCCATTTTATAATAAGTAAAGTCATGTGTGTAAGTCTTGAAGTTGATAATTATAAGTTTCATTTTACTTACTTCTTCCTATTAGTATTGTCTTTCCTATCAAGCCTTAGCTAAACCAAGTTGGTAAACCTCTCTTTCCTCCAATAATCTGGCACTGGTAGGTCTGGTCTACCCACACCTCGAATCCCACCTACCATTGTAAAGTCGAGGTCTTTGCCAAACATAGGTCCCCCTAATCAATTGTTCAGATCCTTTGGTGCTCGCACTAGATTAGCTGAGGATCTGAATGTTTTAGATTCAAGGCAAAAAGACATTCTCATGCATGAGGTGGGAACGCAGGTGACACATAACCTAGAAAGAGATGATTGTATATCAAACAATGACAAGAACAAAGGTAAAAATCTTGTTGATGAGAGTTCCTGTTATAAGTATGTCAGTTCAGTAAAAGACTGGATAATACCTATGTCTGATGGGCTCAATGATGAGAAAAAACTTGAAAGACAATCTTCATCTTGCCAGGGGGAGGAATTACCAAGCAAGGATTATAAAATAAAACAAATAGAAGAATGGGTCATGGATCTTCAGTACTGCAGCCCTTTGGAAGAGACAAATGAATGTGCAATATCAAATGATCCTGAATTAAAGGATCATGACACTGTCTTAGAGGTTCCAGCTACTGCAAAGTTGGATGGCAAGGCCAACCCTAGAATGGAAGCAGCAAAGAGACACATCTCTTCTATGAATGCCACTGCCACGACAGCTCAGTTCGCTAATATTGGGTTGGTTGTGATACTGTTTCTCAGTGCTTTTGTTAGCGTCAAAGCACTTTAATTTATCTGGGAATGACATAGGTTTACTTCTCTAGTGTTTGCTCTTCTCTCCTTAACATTCTGTTTCTTTACCTTCTTGTGCTTAAGTTTTGGTGATGATTTGTTTTTTTCAACTATTTTTCTCCCCCGTTAATTCCTAGTGAGGATTACTGCTGATTCTCTCCCTCAAGGACTCCACATTTTGAATCTTTCGAAAAACAATATTTCCACCATTGAAGGTCTGCATGATCTTTCAAGACTTCGTGTACTTGACCTAAGCTACAATCAATTATTAAGGATTGGACATGGTATGGTCTCGTACCATGACGACATACAAAAAGTATTGATCATAAATTGTTATGATGGGATTAGGTTATATTTTCCTTCAATCTTTTTTGTCAAACTTGGTTGGTAGGTTAAAATAAAATATCGTAGGAAAATTCTAGCTGGAATTTATGGAATATCACATCGATAAATATTAAGGATTGGATATGGTATGTGTTGTTTCCATGATAAATACAGATAATCCTAATCATTGCTTAAAAAATTGATGCTGTCGACCGAATTAGGTTATATTTACTGAAAATCTCGTTTGCCAAAATTTGGTGGTAGATTAAAAAAAATGATGACTGAAGCTTGTAGCTGAATCTAAAATAGCACATTGATAAACTTGAAGGATTAAAATGTGTATTGTCCAACTCTTGTCAAGATGGGGAGAAGTTTATGATTTTTAAGTTTACTGTATAATCAATGCGACTGAATTGTATCGAAAAGTCATATTAAAAGTAAATTTGATATTGAAATGAGTCCAAAGTAGCCTTGAGATGCTCAATTAAGTGACTCTGAAGAGTCAGATTAAATGAATTTTTGACATTGAAATGAGTCCAAAGTAGCCTACTAGAGATGTTCCACTAGGTTAAGGATGAAGCTTAAACATGGTGAATACTACAACTTGACAATTATGAACATAGTGTATGGGCCTAGGTTGGAGCTTTTGAGTTCCTTTCAACTTGTACCACATTCTTAATGAACCAAGAGTATCTAGTGAGGAGAAAAATATATTTATTTCTTTGGATATCATGTATCAGGGGCTCGACCGTGCTAGTCAAGTTTCTGATGTCTGCCCAATGTTCCTGCTACATCATTTGGTTTACACAATTGTTCTTATGGATTCTATGAAATTACTTTCATTTCTTTAATTTTGATAGGTTACTCCAGATTACTAAGATACTTGTTTCTTGCTAGGAAAGGCATCTCATCTTGTTCCTCCCTGAAAGAATTGTACTTAGCCGGTAACAAGATCAGTGAGGTCGACGGTCTTCACCGCCTCCTAAAATTGAATGTATTGACCCCAAAAAATGAGCCCATAGAATCCCTGACACATTCCCTCCACGTGGACATCACCTGCACACTGAAAACCCTTTAGGAGGCAAAGGCCGGCGGCCAAGAAAAAAGTCTGGCGACCATTTGCTCTCAGACAGTCAGGTCAACTACCGAACGGGAGAAATATGAGTACAAGAGAGGAAAAGATGATTTGGTTAGGGTTAGAGAACATTCCTTAATTATAAAATAATCACATATATATATGAAATGTAAATGGGCATGTGGGCCCAATGGGCTGGACCCAAGCTTAGGTCCAAAAATATTCGACTTGATTAAATAGGTCAACTTCAATTAAATAGTTGATGCCACGTAATTTATAGGTGTAACAATAGACCCCCAATTCTAAGTCGTCCATTCACTTGAGGGTCGAACTTCGAAATACAAGCTATTAGTAGGTGAGTTTTTCTAGATTGCCTCAAAAATATAAGTAGCTCGGATAAGCGAGGACTTACGAACTGCCTTGAAAATACGCTTCGGTCCAAAATAGGTGAGGACTTACGAATTGCCTCGAGAATATAAACCGCTCCACTAAGTGAGGACTTACAAACTGCCTCAGAAAATGTGTGCAAGCCTTAATAAGCGAAGACTTACGAATTGTCTCGAAAGGTGGATACTGCATATTACACCTATAAATTACGTGGAATCAACTATTTAATTACAGTGGACCTATTTAATCAAGTTGGATATTTTTAAACCTAAGCTTGGGTCCGACCCATTAGGCCCACATGTCCATTTACATTTCCTAAGCACCGTAAAGATCAATTAGCTAGGTTTTGGGCTGATACGATAATAACTGCGTACTTATGTCATGATGGTAGATATCCCTACTCATGATGCGAGATAAAAATTAGGAATCAACTTATGTAATAGAGTCAATCCACTAAAGTCTTGCGCAGCGGTGTAGGATCAGATCCCAAAGATAGTAAGTCTTTTCTTTCTTAAGAAGTCAAAAGTTCCATATAATTACTTCTCAATACAATTTCTTTTAAATTTATTAAAATTTAATGGACCGATTCTTGAATACCCGCTATGGTAGAATATTCATGTGGGACGTTCTCGGATTTTACACATGTGATACATGTTCCTTCTATTTCTCCAAGTAAAGCTCTTCGCATCGCAATGCCTATTGTGCAAACGGTCGCCGAACATTTTTCTCGACCGACGGCCTCTGCCTCCTAACGAGGTATTCGGTGTGCAAGTGATGTCCATGTGGAGGGGACGTGGCAGGAATTCTGTTGGCCCATTTTTTTGGAGTCAACAGATTGGCGTCGTCTGTGAAAAACGATACGTTAACCATGTTTTAGCACGTACCAAAAAGTGTCCGGAAAGATTATTTTTTCTGGGTAGTTTGTTCTACCAAAAGTTCACAAAATCAGCTACGTGAAGCAAATTTTCTTTGAACATTTTGTGGGACTCAAAGAAGAAGAAAATCCCATCAAGTGACAGCCACCGGAAATGAAGAATTCTTTCGAGCAATTTCTCTACCAAAAATAGAGAAAACCACCAAAAATGAAGAAAATATTGCTATTAGAAGGGAAGAAATAGATTGCAAAACCGAAAGCAATTTTTCTTGGAGGAGTTTCTAGTGCCCAAGTTGAAGAAAGAGGCCATGAAAATGGTAATAAAGAAGAAAAAATCAATATCCATCCAAGGTTCTGTCTACATATGGTTTGAAACAAAACTAAAAAACTCCTTGTTGGAATCGAGAATCTACTTTTGCTTCCCTGTGTAAATAAAATTCAAAGGTTTTATCATTAAACCAAGGCATTAATCTCTAGCTGCCTTCAAAGGGAAATGCTTTCTATGAGCCTCCAAGGATGGTTAATTGCGAACCATGACGCAACATCCATCATTTTGTTAATCTCTGAGCCTGCAATATCACGGTGACCGACGATAAATGGTCAGAACTTTGCCCATTGTGCAAATATGGATTTTTGATGGGGACAGGAAGTGATGGTGGCATGTTTGGACCATTTCCTTCAAACTTTTGCTAGTTGTTTTGTCTGTAAAAGAAGCTGAATTTTTTGCCTAATTGGTACTTTTCAGCTGGACAATGATATTGGTGAAATGGCCTTTGACCATGAATAAAAAATAAAGAAATAAATCAAAATATTTTAATTGACAAAATGACAAAATTATCCTTCAATTATTAACTCAATTCCCTCATTTCATATCGTCATTTCTACTTCAACTTCTTTGTAAAACCTTATTCTCCATTTTTGAAATTAAAGTTTTCTTCTTCCTCTTTTCATCATCTTCAACCCACCAAAAACTTTAAAGATTCGAAATTTGTGCATCAAC